AATAAATGAGTAAATTCTTGATACTGTAGGATTCAGTTTGTCTGGTTTGTGTTGACAACTACCGTCCTACCGTACCATATACAGGTAATAAATTTCCTTTATTTTCATTTAACAATAAATGTGTACCGTATTCTTCCTCATGGAAAAATAAGACATCCCCTGAAAATAAGACCTATCGCATCTTTGAGAGCAAAAATTAATATAAGACACTGTCTTATTTTCGGGGAAACGGTACAAAATGGTAGAAATGATCATAGGGACAAGCACAGGTGGGGATGTGGGGGTACTAACCTACCTGGTGTGAAGGAAATAATATCTGGCCTGACTTTTAAAAGAACATAAGGTTTAGAGAGCAAAACTGTGAGGCAAGGTAAGGCAGGGTACATATACCAGTAAGGTCACCCATCAGTAAACAGAAAACAACTGTGACTGGTTTAATTACAAAAGGAGTTTATTAGAAAAGTACTGTGTAGCTCAGAGAATCCCTAGAAAGACTGAAGATCCAAGATTTAAAAAAAAAAACAAAAAAAAAACCAGAAACAAAAGGATACTTCTCAGAGTAAAAAAGTCAAAATCACACGAGAGAATCAAACAAAGGACGATGCTGCGGTGCAGTCACAGAGCCCTGGCTTCTCCAGCCGAACTGACCCGGCTATCGCACGGGGCCCTGAAATGCAGGTACTAGACAGTGAGTCCGGGACTGGACACTGGGTGCTCAGTGCAAGACAGTGGCTGCCCACTGGCACCCTTCAACACCCATAAAACTGGTGATTCCTAAACCACAGGAGGGAGGTTCCGATGCTGACAGTGTAAAGAGGAGCACTATGGCAACATTCCAAGGAGATGAGAAGGCAAGAAAGAGAAAATGTACAAGTGCAAGCCTTTATTGAGAAAGAATGAGCCCAAGTCAATCACTTATGCTTTAAAGTTAAACTAGGAAAAAGATGAGCAAACTAAACCCAAAGCTAGCAGAAGAAAGTAAATAATAAAGAACAGAAAATAGAAATAAATGAAATAGAAAACAAGGAAGTAAATCAATGAAACTAAAAGCTGGTTCTTAGAAAAGAACAAAATGGACTAACCTTTAGCTAGACTCATCAAGGAGAGAAAAAGGAGAGAAGACATAAATTTAAAAAAATATATATATATATATATATATAAATAAATAAATAAATAAATATATATATATATATATATATATATATATATAATTGATTTTTTACAGAGAGGAAGAGAGAGGGATAGAGAACTAAAAACATCGATGAGAGAGAAACATCAACCAGCTGCCTCTTGCACACCGCCCACTGGGGATGTGCCTGCAACCAATGCACATGCCCTTGACCGGAATCGAACCTGGGACCTTTCAGTCCGAAGACCTATGCTCTATCCACTGAGTCAAACCGGTTTCAGTGAGAAGACATAAATTATTAAAATAGAAATGAAAGAGGAGACTTCATTAGCAATCTTACAGAAATTAACAGGTTTTTAAAGAAATTATATAAATTTTATGCCAACTTATATAACATAATTAGGAAGATTTATAACATAATTCTATAGAATTCCTAGGAAGACACAAATTACCAAAATTAACTCAAGAATAAATGGAAATAGACCCATAACCAGTGAAGAAGTTAAATCAGTCATTTAAAAGCCCTCTACACAATGGTAAGATATGTACACATATAATACCTTAATAAAAATAAATAAAGGAAAAAAATAAAATAAAATAAAAGCCCTCTACAGATAAAAGCCCAGGTTCAGATAACTTAAATGGTGAGTTTTATCAAAAATTAAAGAATAAATAACATCAATCTTTCACAGAGGAAGAATCACTTCCCAACTCATTCTATTAAGTCAGTATCACTGGAATACAGACAAAGAAATATCCCTCACGAATATAAACACAAAAACCCTCAACAAGATAATAGGAAAATGAATTCAACAAAATAAAAAAGAATTAAACAACAAAATCAAGTGCTGGCAATGATGTGGGAAAAAGGAACCTTTGTTTACTGAATGGATATTGGTGAAGCCATTACGGAAAACAGTATGAAGGGTCCTCAAAAAATTAAAAATTAAACTACAACATGACCCAATAATTGCACTTCTGGGTATTTATGTGAAGAAAACAAAAGTACTAACTCAAAAAGATATATTCACCCCCATTCTCATTGCAGCATTATTTACAATAATCAAATGTGGAAATAATCTTGAGTCCATTGGCAGATTAATAGATAAAGAAAATATATAAATTTAGCCATAAAAAAAAATCGTGCCATTGGCAACAACATGCATAGACCTTAAGGTCATTATGCTAAGTGAAATATTCACTTATATTCAAACTTCTAGTTAAAAAATAAATAAATCATGAGGGCATAATGTACAGCATAGTGACTATAGTTAATAATACTGTATTGCATATTTGAAAGTTGCTACAGAGTTAATCTTAAAAGTTCTCATCACAAGAAAAAAAACTATGTAACTATATATGGTCATGAATGTTAAAATAAATTTATTGTGGTGATTATTTTGGAATATATACAAATATCAAATTATTATGTTTTATACCTGAAACTAGCATGATGATGTTTCTCAGTTATACCTGAATAAAATTTTAAAAAATAAGGATCTTAGCTGAACTGGTTTGGCTCAGTGGATAGAGCGTCAGCCTGCAGACTGAAGGGTCCCGGGTTCGATTCCAGTCAAGGGCATGTACCTTGGTTGCTGGCATATCCCCAGTAGTGGGTGTGCAAGAGGCAGCTGATCGATGACTCTCTCTCATCGATGTTTCTAACTCTGTATCTCTCTCCGTTCCTCTCTGTACAAAATCAATAAAATATATTTTTTTAAAAAAGAGTTAGATTCCCAGTCAAGAGCATGTAATTGGGTTTGATCTCTGGCCCTGGGCAGGGTGCATGTAGAGAGAGGCAACCAATCTATGTGTCTCTCGTTTCTCTCTCTCTCTCTTCCTTTCTTGCTTCCTTCCCTTCCACTCTTTCTAAAAATCAATGGAAAAAATACCCTCAAGTGAGGATTAACAACAAAAAATTTGTGCTTATTAACCTCTCCATACTCTGAACAATCCTTATTAGTAAAAAGCTGTCTTTTCTGAACATGAGAACTTTGCATGGAATCTTTTTAAAAAGGAATTTAATAAATCTTATACTGTTAGTAATACTGTAATATCAACAAAAGTTAAATGATAATTACGCATTTTCCTTAACCCACACACCTCCCTTCATGAAGTAATCTGTCTCTCTCCTTCTTGGAACTTCCACTGCATTGCTTTCCTCTGTGGAACACGACTCATTTTCTGTTTTGCATTAGATTCTCTGTGTTTCCCCTGTGAGATTACAGTTCCTCGAGGGAAAATGCTGTGTCTGACTTTTATTTGCATCCCTTCTGGTTCTCAGCACAGTGCCCGGCATATTATCGGTGTACAATACACATTTTTTTTTTGAATGAAGAAAGAAATGAACCGACAGAGATTTCTATGGTGATATTATCACACCCTTGTCTCCCATAGAAGCCTAACACACAGCCTAGAAATAAATCACTCACTGAAAAACAGTCCAGAGAATCTTATCTGTGAGAACTGTTGGTGTGATATAATTCTAAAGAATGTCAGGGTCCTCCAGGTTATATGGAAAGCTGTCTGCTCTTTTGTGTTACTTTCACAAGCAAAAAAAAAAGGGGGGGGGGATGTGGAGGGGGGGAAGTGTAGTAGTTCCTGAAAAATATGTTCTAATTTTAGAACTCCATACATCCATGGTTAGCAGCCTTTCCTCTCACCGTGGTAGTACAGAAAAATGGTGGGGAGCTTGTAGTCTGAAGTCAGAATATCCGTATTTCAATCTCACCAACACCACATGGTAGCTATGCAACCTCAGGCGAGTTGTTTAACCCACCTGTGCGTCTCATTGTCATCACCAGCAAAATGGAGAAACTCACAGCACATACCCTCCAAGACATGGGGTGAAAATGAATGGCTAACATATTTAAAGGGTCTAGACTAGTATCTGGCACTTTGTTTAAAAACGATAGCAAACCCTGGCCGGTGTGGCTCAGTGGTAGAAGTGTCCAGTGTACCTAAGAGTCATGGCTTTGATTCCTGATCTGGGCACATACCCAGACTGCAGGTTCAATCCCAATCCGGGTGCATGTGGGCGGCAACCAATTGATGTTTCTCTCTCACATGGATTTTTTTTTTTTTCTTTCTCTCTCCCTCTCCCTTCTTCTCTTTCTAAAAATGAATAAAATACATCCTATACAGTAAAAGGCTAATATCAAATTATCCCCTTGACAGGGAGTTTGACAGAGGTGGGCCTGCCTGCCAACTGCCCAAAGGGCCCCCCACACACACACACCAATCCACACACGGGGCCTCTAGTATTTAATAAAGAAAAAAAGAGCCCTAACTGGTTTGGCTCAGTGGATGGAGCATCAGCCTGAGAACTGAAGGGTCCTGGGTTCTATTTTAGTCAAGGGCACATGCCCAGACTTGATTCCCAGTAGGAGGAGCATAGGAGGCAACCAATCAATGTTTCTCTCTCATCATTTGATGTTTCTCTCTCTCCCACTCTCCCTTCCTCTCTGAAATCAATAAAAATATATATTTTGGGGGGGGAAAGTGATAGCAATATGTAATACCATATTTACCTTACATCCTTCATTGGTTAGTTCCATGTTGTCAAGGACAAAGCGGGCTCTTTTTTTGTCCTCTAGAACAGTGTGTAACAAATACTAGATGTTCAAAAAAAAAAAATAAATGATGATGTGAATTGCATTTGAGATACAGAAGCTGAATGCACCAGAAAAATGAAAGTATGCATAAAATGCCCATGCAATTCATTCATATAAAAGGGTTCTTGTCACAGTATTTACACGTCTTCAGCTATTTCTTTGGGACTAGTTGCCAGGTGCTCTGTGACCTGACCTTTTCCTCGCCCTCCCCAGAGCATGTAGCTTGGTGTAGGGCATGTTCCATGCATTACAGAACCTCTGGCCTCCTGGCGAGCTGGCTGTTCAGACAGTCTGAGGGAAGAGGCTGCTGCAGCAAAAAAAGTGGGTGACATTACAGACAGAACCGCGGTGCTGCTGCTGGAAACACTAAGGCCCCTGATTTAAGAAAAAAACGCCCCGGGAAGAGTGGGGCCAGCCAAGCGTTTGGGGACGCCCATTTGGACCTTGCAGGGGAGCATCGCCGAGGTGAGCGCCCAGGCCGGGGTCGCAGGCCAGGATGCTGAGCGAGTAGCTTGGCGGGGGAGGCAGCGCCCCCCCAGAGGGTGCGGGGGGAGCCCCTCTCACTGCCCCAGCCAGGCGCGCGCCCCCCGGGAGCCCACAGCAGCCAGGGCCCCCGGCCCAGACCCTCCCGGGGCGCCCCCTGCCGGAGGCCACTGACCTTGCCGCAGTCCCCGCGCCGCAGAGCCGGGCGCTGGCCGGGGCGCCCTGCACGACCCCCCGGCGTCTCCCTCCGGAGCCGGGTCGCCGCGGAGCCGCTGGGGCCGCGCGGGAGGCACCGGGGCGGGGCGGGCGGGCGCACCCCGGGCCCGGGTGGCCTCGCGCGGGCGCACGCGCCGCAGTCCCGCAGCCGCGCGGGGCGGGGGGCAGGGAGGTGGGTGTGCTCCCGGCGCGCCGCCGCCCCAGCCTGCGCTCCGCCCGCCGCCCGCTCCCGGCTGGGCCCCGGCACCCAGCGCCCTGCACCCGACGCCCTGCACCCAGCGCCCCGCGCCCAGCGCCCAGCTCGCCGGCTTCCCCGCGGCCATGGGTGACGCGGGGCCAGCGGTGTAGTCCGCCACCCCGGACCGCGCCCCGCGCCCTGACAGTCCGGGTAAGCGGGGTCGGGGGCGGCGGGGGCCCCGGGGGACTCTGAGGTGCTGAGGGGTCCCCGTGCGGATGGATGGACCTGGCTGTCCGCTGCCTCCGTCTCCGGGAGAGTCCCAGGCGGGCGCGGCGGCGTGGGAGCTGTCCCCTGTGCGAGCGGAGACTCCCGGGCTCGCCCTGCGCCTGCTGCCCCGGGAGGCCCGTGGCTGGTCCCCTGAGAGGGGAGCGTCTGGGTAGCTGCGGGAGGGCAGGGGCAGGCTCTGGAGCTGCCTCCGGAAGATGATTTGGGAACAGGGGAGACCCTCAGGGAGCCTCCGAAGCCTGCGGGGTGGCGGGTGGACCCCCCAGAGGACCAGTCCTTCCAGGAGGACCTTAGGCTGAGCCCTGGAACTGTCTGGAAGGAACCTCTGTCTGGGAGGAGAGGGTCCTGCTGTGGGATCCAGGCCAGGAGTAACTTCCCCTATGCCCAGAGGACTTTGGCCTTGACCGCCCTACGGATGGATGTGCCCTAACCTGTGTCCCTCCGGTGTGGTCCAGAGGTGGGCACCTCGTGGGGCTGCTGCCTCTGTCCATGGCCCCTCCTCAGGATTTTTGTTCTTGGTGGTAGCCCCATTGGCTGCAAGTCGGATTTCAGTGGAGGCAGGAACTTCTGTTAAGAGCACAAAGCTCAAGGAAGGGAAGGAGCAGGGAGGCCTCTCGGAAGCAGAGAAAGGAGATTTGGATCCCTGGCTTTGAGCAGGAGGAAGAAGTAAACTCAGGTGCAACAGCTGAGTCTGGCAGGTCCTGGCAGGAAAGTCCTTTGAGGGAGGGAAGAAAGAATGTGTAGGATTCCTGAGCACGGGGGTGCCAGTTCTACACCAGGGATGGTTAGCATCTTATATAATCCTTTCAGCAGCCTTGAAATGATCTCCTTTTAAACGTTAGGCACTTCAGACTCAGAGAGGGTTAGCAATTTGCCCAAAGCTTGGAATCATGAAATCTGTGTGGTGTTTTTTTGTTTTGGGGTGTGTGTGTGTGTGTGTGTGTGTGTGTTAGTTTATTTGGGGAAAAGTACCAAGGAGAGGCAGAAACAAGAATGCATGTTTTTAGACAAGTTGCATTAAGGCACCAGGCACGGGGCTTTGCGATTGTATGTGCTCAGTGAGTGTGATGATTAAATAAGAGGATGAGATTTTCATTGAGGGTGAGATTGCTGCGGGACTGCTTTCCACTGAATCTCCAGATTTCAGGGTGTGGCTTCCCTCCCTGGCAGCCTCGCTGTGACGATGCCTCTGGCCAGCTCTGGACGTGATTGGGTTTGGAGGCCTCTGGGTGTGGTCTCTGGCAGGACTGCTCCTCGGAACTAGGGGATCCCTTCAGAGCACGGAGTGTCCTGAAACAACCCTCCAGGCTACAGAATCCGTGAGGGAGAGAAAGGGGAGACAGGATCCTTTTTAGGAAGCACGACCTACTGTCTGGGGGCCATCTAACTACATGCTCCAGCAGACACTGGCCACAGGCACCGCTCAGGACACTTGTGCCCCGTAGTGCCTCAGCGTGAGGAGGAGGAGGAGGGTGGGAAAGGTGCAGAACCTGGGAAAGCTTAACGTTGTCTGGGGGATGGCAAAGGGTCTGCATCGGACACAGTAATGCACCCTCATCTTGCCCCCTCAGCTGTGGCCATGCTTTCATTCCATCTGAATCCTAAGGGTATGAATTTGGGAATTGAGGATAGACTATTTCCTTGTCCAAAAATAAAATAAAATAAAATAAAATAAAATAAAATAAAATAAAATAAAATAAAATAAAATAAATAAAATAAATGGAGTTGTGTGGAAGCTAAGCAATGGAATTCTCCGCAGAGCCGTTCCCCGAGAGCTTTTCTGTACCCCTTCCTCTCCTCTTCCACTCACCCCAACGTAGTGACATCTTCCTGTGACAGAAGTGGCTTCCTCGGGCTGGGGTTACACACGGTGAGAAGAGAGAGCAGGCCTGTGAGGAAAGAGGACCACCTGTGTGCCCACTGCTAGCTTTTCTTTTTTCACTCGATGGCCGCCTGGAGCCTGGGTGTGGCACCTCCTGCACAGCTCCACGGAGTGAATGGACCAAGGTTTATCGCAGCACCTCCCCATTACGGAGCTGTCTGTTATCCCCTTTCAGCTCAAACCCCTCTCATCAGTTTAAGACACCAAAATAAACAGGGATCTACATTTTTAAAGGAAGTCAGAAGAAGCAAAACGGCCAATATGATCTTTGCTCCAATTTGGAGACTTGTCATTAGAGTTTGATTCCTAACCTGGCCTTTCCATTGAGGGATCTTGGCATCGCACCCGCTCATAACCCTGGGAAATGTGCTGGATGGCTCCAGATGCTCCCCAAATACTGGACCGTGGATACCACCTCCTAGGAATACTGTCTAACTGTCCCTTAATCACAACGTGAGCGTGCAAATCAAATCATTCCAGATGGGAGTGAAGGATGTGATTGGGTTTGGAAGGCCCTTAATCTTCTCAAAGCAAAACAAAACAAAAAAAATGATCTTTACAAAGGGAAAGACAAGGGGGAGAGAATGGCTCAACCAATTTCACTCGAGTGTATACCCATGTCCTGGACAGTCTTTTTAATCTTCCAAATCTTCACTGACCACATTCTTCTGATTTTCTTCTTCCCACATTTGAAATCTCTTTGACAGTGCTTCCTTTTCCTCAAACACGAACAGCGGGACCTTCCCAGTCCATTTCCCCCTCCCCCCAGTATACTGGTTCCTAAGTGAATCATATTCATGCAAATAGTTTCCTTTCTTATAGCTACCGAATCCATGGCCTCCCAGTCCCACATGCTTTTCTCCAGGAGTGATTTATTCATTGCTGATGGGACCTCATTACCCACTCCGACCCTCAATCTTAATGACCAGCTCTGACAGGAATTATTTACCAGCTTTGGACCAAGAAACCAAGACCATCAGTGTCCAGCTGGAGACATGATTATTTTTTTCCATTATAACCTCTCCCTTCCCCCTCTCCTCCCCTCCCAGCAATCCCCTCAGAGAACCACATACATTTACTAAGTGCCACCTACTCACCAGGCACTATGCTAGATAATATGAGAGTTCCTTGCCCTGGAGGAGTGCTCATAGAACCAGTCTGCATTTCTTTGATCATTTACTATAAAGAGTAAGAAAAGTAAGGGGGAAGGTACAGCTTTTCAGGGGATCCACACAAATCGGTGTGGAGGATGCTTTCCCCAAGCATCACTGAAATGCAATCTTCTGTGCCTCCCCTGGCAGCACATTCGTGGTCCCCCTGCCACTGCCCTGCCCACGTGACTTTTGCTCCTATGCCTTGAGTAAACTGGCCACCCTCTTGACTTCTTACGATAATATGACAGTACCTTGTGTTACAATTTACAAAGCCCTTTTATGTACATAACCTCTGGTTTGAGAAACGTTTCGTCTTACTGGGGTTTTCTCACTAAAATAACAGTGTGTAGGTTGACTGGCTTGCGTGCTTTCCCTTTTCTTTCTCTTTTTTCTTCTACTTTTGTTTTTTTTTTAGACTTCTAATCAGGCTTATGGGTCTCCCAGAGGGAAAAGGAAAAGCCCCAATGATTCACTACAGTCGCCTCTTAACCCGCTCTCAGGCGATAAAGAGGAGTTTCCTGCGGGGTGCTCAGCCCTGGGACTGATCAGAGCTGTCCTGCTTCTTGCCCTCAGAAAATCCAATCTCTGGGGTTTCCTTTCTCCCTGGAAATCGACATTTATATCCTCTTTTAAACAAGCACGTGTAAGCCTCCTCTCTCACACCATTTCTTTAGGCTGTTCCTTATGTTTCCTTGCCTATTACGATTCAGCACCCAGCTGGCTGCATACCATCTGAGCCGCGATGGAGTCCCCATATAGCTCCATGCCTTGGCACGTGCTTTTACCTCTTCCTGGAATGCTTTTCCCCCCCCTTATCCACCGGGGTAACTCCCACTCATTTTTCAAAATTTAGCTCAAGCAACACCTTTTTTTTTAAATCCCATACTTATGCCCCCTACACACACACACTGCACTCTCAGGCTGAGTGAGGTTCCATTTGTCATTCTCCCGGCAGTTCCGTGCTTGATTTGTGCCTGGCACATAGTAGGCTGCATTCATCAGATTATTTGTAGACTCGACAAACAAGAAAGTTGTGGTGATTGTGGTGTAATAAGTGCCTGAAACGGGGCCGAATAGGTGTTTCAGGGCCCCCCGTGCGAACGACAGGAAGGAGGGCCTCTCCATCTCCCTGAAAAGCTCTGCTGGCGAAGTGCAGTCACACCAGCCAATCCCTGATGGTGTGCTGCTCCCAAACTGCTGCTCTGCTTCTGTGGGAAGCCGGCACTGTAGCTCCTCCTGAAGACTCATCCCCGGCCCCCTGAGGCTA